AGTGCTAAATGTGTCAGCACGATCCCCCCATGACAAATGCAGACACCAGCCCTGGCCATGGCCATCTCCCCCAGCACCTGCTTGGGCCAGCAGCCCCCATCTCCCCCCTGCCCACCTGCTACACTCGACTCCCAGGGCGCCTCAGTGAAGCACCCCAAAACTCCCATTGAGCACCAAACATTTGCCACCAGACCACCCAGCCAGTGTGCTGGGTTTGGCTGGCTTGTCCCAGCATGGTGGCACCTCTGCCAGGGCCATCCCTAGTGCTGGAGGTGACAGCAAGTGGACGAGCTCTGCAGTCCGGGACGCACTCATCCCTGCCTGTCCCAACTGCCAGGCTTGGTCCGAGGCAGCGGGGTGTCTCCAGAGGGGATGGCTCTTGGCAAGAGCACTGGAGCAGAGGGGCTTGTGGCTGCGCCAAGACCTCTCCCAGTGCACAGGCTGGGGATGTAGGGAGGCAGGGGGAGATCTGGGGGGGCCCTGCAGGATCAGCACCCTCCTGCTGAGAGAGAGACCCAAGGGACCCTCCTGCCATCTGGCTGCAGTGGCACCCAGGGACTTTTCCAACACTTTCCTGGTGCAGAGGATGCTCTGCCTGAGCCACAAACATCTCCAGGAGGACACAAAACCAGCTGCTTTGAGCCCAGGCTGCTCCCAGTACCCACATCCCCACCCTGGCACAAGCCAGATGGTTGGGCACATACAAACCCCAAAGCCCTAAACCTCTGGGAACAGCTGTGCCTCAGCCAGACACCTTTTCTCTTGCATCCCAAGCCAGCAGCCAGCCTGGAGGTGCCAGGTGAACTGGCCTGGACCACCACACAACTCCACATATCCCCAGAGGCACCAAGCCACAGCTTCAGCCCCCCTGTGACACCCAAGGCAAAGCCAGCTCTCCAGGGACCCTATGGCCAAGGAGATGAGCCCTGGAGATGGCACCTACCGGAGAAGTTCCTGGTGGCCAGCATGGTGGTGAGGATGGCTCCCTGAAAGACACAGAAGGCAGAAGGAAAGGACATGCTGGGTCCCAGCCCCCACACCCTCATCGCTCCCCCCAGCCCTGGGAGAGGAAAACCCTGCTCATCACCTGGCCCCCGGCCACCTCGCTGGAAGGAAACTGGCCCACAGGCTGATATTCTCCTCCTGCCATCAAAAGCAGCCCCCGGTACTTGACTCCACATCCCCAGTGCCAGGGCGTTGGGTTGCATACTCCAAAACTGCCTTCTCTCCAGGATTAAATGGATATTAAATATCCCTGAGGTGCATTTCGGTCTCGTTCTGCCCTGCCCTAGATGTAGCCTGACTCCGCTGAGCGGGGCTGGCAGCTGGCGGTGAGGGGAGTCACCGGGAGCGGAACCGGATTTAATTGCAATTAAAGCTGTGCCAGCCAAGAGCAGAGGGGCAGGGGTTTTTCATGGGAACCACACAAAGATCACCACAGCAAAAGAACATTCCTAAAAATGCTTCCCCTTTTCCAGCTGACTCTACTAACTAGTTGCTCAGGGTATAACGAGATTACTTTGGACTAATTGCCTGTACTAATGGATTACTACACTGAAGTGACTGCTTGAACTAATTTGATTACTTGTCCAGCTGAAAAGTAATAATAGTTTATAGGCAGTTTCTTCTCTTGATAATCTTGTTAGCAGCCTGCAGCCCTGCTGCTCTGTGCCACATGGTGTTCAGGCCAGCAGCGCTGATGGGTCTGACTGGTACAGGTCAGTGTTGTCCTGTTCTGAGTCACCGGCTCTGGAGGAGGCATTGTGATTTCCCAGAGCTGGGGCTGAGCAGCCACCCAGGAGATGGGTGCTGCAGGGAGATGCTCCAGCTCAATGGTGAAGCCTGGGGAGATGGTGTTTCAGAGGGGGGTACTGCCTGAGGCACAAGGTAGCATCCAGGAAGGGAAAGCCTGTGGTGGGGCTGCTGGGGTGGGAGAGCCAGAGCTTTTTTTGCCTGTCAGTGGATGACTTTGTACCTTGGCTGCAACGTGGCTTGGTCACCAGGCAAAGGGATCTCACTGTGCCTGTCAGATCCATGTCCTGTCCCAAAGAGGAGCTTCCTTTTTACACTGACTCCAGTGGGAAAGTCCTCGCCCCGGTGTGCAGGGCAGCTGTGTGACTTGGTGCTGCTTCACCATGGCTTTTCTCCAAGCACTTGGGAACCCCAGCCAGATGCAGTCACCACTCCACTTGGCCTCTTTTCCCTTCTTCACAACAGGGATCCCCAAACATCCATCACCCCCATACCACTGACCCAGAGACACCACCCTCTCCTTTCCCACTAGAGAATAAACTCCACAATGACCTTATGGTGCATTCTGCAGCCAACTTGGATACTGTGAGAGTTACCTTCAGCTTCCTCCGGGCATTGAACTTCTTCAGACAATCCACCGTCTCCTGCCTGTGCATGCATGATGCGACGGTGGCACGGTGCTGGGGAGAGAGAGACCCAGCTCAGAGCCCGCATGGAGGGCGAAGGGGCTCCCCCAGCCCCACTCTCACATGCAGGCACCCGTGTGTGGTCTCCC